TGTAATCGTTACTCAATTGTTTACAATAATAATACTCTGTAATAATAAGTAATACTTCCTCCGTCTCTGAATTTTTTTTCTTTTGCTATTTGTGTCAACAAACTTTTTTCATTTCTATTAAAAAATCTCTTTCATCTCTACTAATTTTTAACCTACATATCATTTCACATCTATTCACTATTGATCATCTACCCATCAAATCCTATTTATTTCCCATCACATCAAGAATATTTTCAGATACTCAATAGCAACAAACAGTCTCCTTAAATTTCTTAAAATTTAAAATCTCTTATGTTTTCAGAGACATATCAAGTAATGCCGGTAATAAAATACTCGTAGTTAGTCATTTGTCCTAGAATCAGTGGCTTAGCTTGAGCATTACGGCATAATATACGGATTACGGAGCAGTATTTTTTAATTAATTAAGTTAGGAAGGCCGGGGACAAATTAATTAATTAATCCGTAATTAAAGAGCGCGCAGCTAGCATATATGCAATGCAGGTCAAACAAGTTTGCAACTGCCGCGCCCTTTATTTGTGAGCAGCATATTGCCCTTTATTTATGCGTTATCCCCCCTTTTTAAGGACAACAAACTACCCTTACATCACAAAGTTGCCCTATCCTGCCCGGTTCCATCGACTGAACCGGGCAATTCGGCCTTATATGATGTCCGAATTCAAAGACTGCTCATGTATATATATATATATATATATATATATATATATATATATATATATATATATATATATTCGTATCCATACAAATGATGTCCGAATTAGTGTATGTTTTCAAGAAAAGGTTAATTAGTATTTTCTCTATCCTGAGAAAATGTTCTTATTTTGACTATTAAGAAATTTAAAGAATGTATATTTCTGTGTTCATTTTCCAAAAATATATTTGAAAAATGCTAACCAATCATGGGCGAAGAGTTATTATAAGTCACATGTGAACAATGTTTAACATTTTTTCATGTTCTCCTTTAAACAATACTTAGTTGTATTTTGAGTTAAGTGCACCGTTTACCCCCGTACTCTTTAGAAATTGCATGTTTTACCCTTGAACTTTAAAAAGTGCATCGATTACCCTCGAACTCTTCAAAAATTGCATGATTTACCCCTGCACACTAAAAAATGCACCAAATACCCTTGAACAAATTAAAACGTTGCATCGTTGGTCCTAAACTATTAGATTGGGAGTGCGTTACTTCCACGCACAAGAATTGCGAATATGATTCATCTGGCCCTTGTGAATTTTCCAAAGTACCTTTACCCAAAATTTTCGTCTTTATTTAAATGTTCAGGAGTAAACGGTACAATTTTCGAAGATTTTAGGGGTATTTGTTGCAATTTTTATTGTTCAGGAGTAAACCGTGCAATTTTTGAAGAATTCAGGAGTATTTGGTGCACTTTTTAATGTTCGGGAGTAAACCATGCAAATTTCAAAGAATTTAGGGGTAAACGGTGCACTTAACTCGTTGTATTTTATTTCAAAGATTCGAGTTGTGAGTATGCGAACAACGTCAAAAAGGAGGAATAACTAGGATATTATCTGCTCTCGACCTGGTGATCGAAAGGCTAAATAACTCTCTTGGTATATGTGAATATAATTTTAATGTTTAATTAGGATCTAGGCGGTAAGATGCTAGCTAGAAAAGAGAAGATGGGAGAGGAAAATGAACTCGAGTAATTAAAGTACTTGAGGATTTATGATAGGAAAATAAATTTTCATCCATGATACAATTTGATAATAACTTGTCTTATTGAATATTGAGAGATATGGCCCTATATATAGGGAATACAAGAGTAATCAAAGTACAAGTAGGAAAGGAAAGAATAATCCTAGTAGGAAAGGAAAGAAGCATCCTAATTTAATTATACTTCCTAATTTCCCCCCGCAAGCTGATCAACGGAGACGAGGGGCAGCTTGGAACATAAGTACTCAAAAGGAACTAGCGGAAGCGGTTTGGTAAGAATGTCTGCTAGCTGCTCTGAGGAGGAAACATGATGTGGAGTCATAGTGCCTGCCATAACCTCATCTCGTACAAAGTGACAGTCTGTGCCCACATGCTTCATGCGATCATGAAGAACCGGATTTTTGGTGACACAGATAGTCGACTTATTGTCACAGTATAACTTCGGTTTGGACGGAGGAATACCCAGCGCATCAGTGATATATCGAAGCCACATAGCTTCTGCAACCCCTGCAGCCATAGCTCGATATTCAGCTTCAGTGGATGATCTAGAAACACAAGTCTGCTTTTTCGTGCACCAAGAGATGATATTAGGACCGAGTAGGAGTATGTAGCCCGTGGTAGACTTGCGATCATCTTTATCATTGGCCCAGTCAGAGTCAGAGTAGGCAGATAGGTCGAATCCCCCCTTGCGAAAAAGAAGACCATGATTCAAAGTGCCTTTGA